AGCAGCGCACAGGCCCAAACACCTCGTGTTTCACCATGAAGTTCATCAGCGATTGCAGTTTCTTCCTGAAAACACGTGCTGTGATGTCATACCTATTTACCACCGATAGCCCAGGAGGTAAGAGCTGATAAACATCCCCAAGCTGGATTGCATTTGAATGTTATGAGTAGGTCTGGACGTCCGTACTGACAATTGTAAGCAATTGCACCTCGAGCGTACTCGAACATATGGCGTGGACGACAAAAGCGTCAGTCTTACAACGTTAGATGCATTACCGTCGTTTACAACTGCATCATGCGAAGGAATGTATCCTTCAGAGCGCAGCTTGGTCTGATTTAAGCGAATGAAAAGCTGGCGTTCAGTTTCGATTTTTGCATACATATCCGCAATGCAGTGATGAAGCAATATACGGCAGTTCAAAAGGGAATTACTTACATCCTGTCGAGTCATAAGTCGGTAGGAGTAGTGGTTCATTGCGCTGCATTTCATGTCCGTTACCTCGTCAAAGACTGGATTTATCATCTTAACGTTGAAGTGATATCCACCGGCACCATCCCGAAAAGTAAATGGATGTTGCGTTGGAATCGGTCTCCGACTGCCGGTATATATGGTATCATCTTACCCTACAATCATTAGTCTTCCGACGGCTGTTGTCGTACCGTCGTTTACAACAGCATCAGACTGCGTGAATGCTGAGCACGAAGTCCTGTTGGACGCTGGTCCGCTGTTCCTCGCTGGCGCCATTCGGCCACTCCCAGCTGGCTGTGTTCATTCTGTTGCTGAAAGAAGCAGGCCTGAAGCTGTAGAACGCGGTAGCCGTGACCGCAACCGGGCTTCCGCAAGCCGAGCTGCACAGTACTGAGCTGACATTGGGCGACAGCCCCATTATGTGGGTTGTGCGGGGGAGGGGAGGGTCTGGTGTTAACTGCATCCAATCCTCACCCCCCAAAATCCACGAGGCAGCGCTGACGGCCCCATAACATGGACTGTGGGACAATTTTAAGTGGCGTCCAAGTGTTGCGTGCTTTTTTGCCGCAGGGTGAGTGGTTTGCTCTGGCGGCCCATACTGCATCGGCCCAGAGAGGGTGGAGGGCCTGCTCAAGTGCCTGCAGGGTTGGGTGGTGGGGTGAGCGCAGCTGTCGGGCGGAGCCCGTGCGTTTGAGCGAATGTCGGTCAAGTGGCCGCTGTCTGGGCGCACATGTGTCCGCGCGGATGTAGGTCAAGTGGCCGCAGCTGATGGCGTTGTTAGGCCGGAAAAAATCCGGTTTTTTACCCATCACAGGCATACCATCGGCATAATTACACAACTGTGCAGACAAAAACCCGGCCCTATGCGCGGGTCGGGTTGTATCCAAATTTCAGCGCAATCGGCGCAGTAATTTCGGAGATTAGATATAACACAGAAAAAAAACCCTTCCATTTTTATATAGATATAGATTTTGAGTCGCCAGCTTGTGGCGACTAGCCATCCTGACTAGTCTGGCGTCATTGTTCAAGACCTCGCTGTCTCAAGGTCATTCACCCCTTGCAGCGAGCCGTCCCAGACGAGCTGACCTGAAGTCACACGACCAACAGCTCGGGCATACCTGCGTCCGCGCAGTCGCAGCTGCCCATGCGGCCACTTGAACGCGCCACCCCCTGCAACCAGCAAAACAAGCCACTGGGACACCACCCCTCGGCAAATGCAACACACGCTGACTGGACACCACTTGAGCTTGGCCTACGAGCCTACAAAAGCGGCTGCCACCGCTATCTCAGGGACTCTCAGGCCTGACTGGACGCAGTCAACACCAGCCCTGGCGTCGCCAGTGGCCACTGTCGCCTGAGAGGACAACTGGGGGTTCTGTGCACAATAAACCCCTCATTCTGGTGTCTTTTGTCTTTCCCTTTCAACACTGGGATTCGACCAAGTGGTTGTAGTGCTCAGAATGCACACACTCACGCCGCTTAACCACTACAAGCTTCATCATCTGAGAAAATGTTAGACATATTTTTATTCTGAAATTCGGTGCCTTTTTTCCGGGGCCCAGCATAATATGCCTGTGGTAAAATGCGAAATATTTTAAAGTCATTGAACATTCTTCATGCGAATATTGCACACCGCATTACTGTCCGTCGCTGAGTGGCATCATGAAGAGAGGGAGAGGGAGCTAAGTTTTGGACAGTCCTACCAAAATCAGTGGCCACATGTCTTTTAAATGTCCAAATGTGAGCGCATTGGTAAGACCTCATTTCGGGACACCGTCATAACTGCCTGACCAATCAGCAGTTTGGACGTGTGCGTGCGTGCGTGCTGCGTAGTACGGTTTCATGCCTGTTTTGCGTGTCCGTATTGTGATGTCCGTTATGGCAGAGCTCAAAATATAAGGTTAACACCTGCCACCGGAAGTCACATGCGTAGATGAATTGGGCTAAAGGCTCGGACATCGTATCGGGTGCCCTAAACACAAGTCTTAAACCATCTGCACAAGAGAGAATATGAAGTTCAACTAAACCTTACCAGTGGAACCCTACAAGGAATATTAGAACAGGCTCGAAAGCATGCGTCATGACGCGAGGCGAAAAGAAGGACATCGATTTGGGAGGTCCTATTTCAGGAATGCGGTGAGCCACGTAGTCCACACGCCCCGACGTCATCTTCATCCGAACTTAGATGGTCGTCCGGCCGCCAGGTACGCTAAGATTATTTATTCTGATTCCGAATCATTTCACTTGGTCTTCTTAATAATCCCCATCATTGTAAAAGTCACCAACTTATCTTGTCAAAGTCGCGAAGTTTGTGAAAAAGGCCGGAGATCAGACAGGCTGTTGAAAAACGTCCTTAAAATAGATCCTGCCGCTTCTTGAATACGCAAACAGTCGTAGCGATAGAGCTGTGGACGACATAATATTCTCTGAAATAATGCGAAATTTCCTTAAACTAGCATAATGGTTGCATGGAGCGGCGTATTGGTGTATTGGAGGGAAACGATCGTTTGCAACTTCGTGGAGTTAAACGTGTGTGCGCAGTACTTTTATGTCTGCAAAAAATGCCCTTTGCAATGCTTTCATTCATTCATTCAAAAAGACTCACCACCTTGGCCTCAACACGGCTGTTAGAAAATTTCGTATATGCCTCCTTTTTTGGAATGAGAAGGGCCCACAGTAACAGGTTAATTGAAATGGTAACTCACAGATTCCTTGGCAGATTTTTAGTAATTCATAGTTACCCAACCGTGAAAAACTTGGGACAGTATAAATTATTCAAAAGCTGTCAAAACATCTATTAAGTACATGAGCCTGGTAGTCATCTGGTGGATTCTAGGTGAACTAATTTGTAAATTCTGTTTAGGCAGTCAACTTACTGTATCAGATTTGGTGGGTTCCAGACGTTGCAGTAGGTTGGGCGGGGAACTTGACACAAATGTGATTAAACTCGCGTCGTTCGGCGGGACCTCGTAGCTCAAGTGGTTACAGCGTCGGCTGTTCTAAAGCCTTCCCCTTACTGTCCTGTTTTCGAATCCCAAGAAGGCGTTGAGTTTTTCACAGTTTAGTCAATATGAATGAAATGTTAACGTTCCGCAGAACTCGGACAGTTCACCGTCGTCAAAAAGTAAATTACCTTTGGGCTAACAGAAGTGGAAGTTGCGTGTTTCGCGCTGGTCTATTTTTCCTCCTCTCGCTGCCTCGGCATTTCAGAGAGGGGGTGTATGGAGGACTTTTAAGCTGCATATGTTGGTCTCCTGTTGAGAATGGTCGATCTGATGTTTTTTTCTTTCTCGGCAACTGAGTTCGTTGTCAGGCTCTGTCTGTCTAGTCGTCTGGTCTTGAGTTTGTGAACGAATTGACGTTGTGAGCTGCAGGAAGGTTCAGATGCCTGTCGATGGATTTGGCGTCTGAGTATCAAGACTCGGACTTTGGGTAATCTGGGTTTGATTTACGACGACGTTAGACGGCAGCTCCCTGAAAATTGAGTGTGTGGCCAGTTTCCCCAATATGCGTTGCAAGTTGAGAGTTTGGGTCTAGACTCCGGGTTGCTGATTTATACTCTGTAGGCGCGTCTGCATTTTTCGCCCGGTTTTCCCAACGCAGTTGCTGTCTTCATCAGTGCAACTTATTTTGTGGACAACTGCTGAGATTTCAGTGGGTGGGAGCGTGTCCTTAGGTTGTATCAAACGAAACCGAATGTCAGACACGCATACAAGAACAAAGACCGTCAACTTGGAGTCCTGACCTAAACCCTCAACGTGCAACACACGTCGGAGAGACTGGTCATGATGTTGCTTTTCAGGGAGCTACTTATTTATGTCGGAGTAATGGTGAGCTGATCCAGCTCTCCGAAACGTCAGCATTCCAGTAAATCTGTAACGATAAGCTCTTATTCCTTCTCAAATGATCAGTTTGGATCTTTCAGACTTGTGAACCTGATGCTTCCTTTATTCATCTCACTCTTTTGGGAACAGTTAGCCAGGTTGATTGAATTCTGGATGAAATTTAGCTTTACGCAAGAAATCGTCTGGATGCATCACTTATTTGGCAGAAATCTCACTCTCTGGTGCTACAGTTGACCACTCGCTAATAAGTAAATAGGACGATTTTAAGGAATAAAACAAATCGTGTGGCCGTTCAGAAACAAATGGACACGTCACTGAAGTGGGAATTTCGACGTTTTAAAAAGCAATCGCTTTTAGTTCAGACGAAACGGTCAAACCTTTGGACAGTTCTCGTAGCCTCAGTTTACACTTGACAGAAACGGAATTTGTGCATGATAGTAAATTTAGTTTACTGAGGAAACACATTATCTGCCCGTACGTATTTGTTTTTATGAAGTCGGCAAACTCGGAGGAAGTATTACTGCCTACAACTGCCTAAAACGGCCAGCTCAAAATCAAGTCAGTCTTTCGTTTTTACAATACGTAAATCCAGTTTCCCGCACATTTCCAGCACATTAAATTAAAACACGCTTGTATTTTCATACAAAAATTGCAGGCCCAGACTATTGAAGCAGACAACTCCGATATTTTGCACATGAATAAACTTAATCTCGGTTGAGGATGTTATCCCCCTGCACTAACAATGATATTGATGACATTTCCCTTTATTTTGTCGATAAGGCAAACTCTAGATGTGTTTTAAGAAACGCTTGGTCGCAGGTTAAAGTAATGCCACAGAGTCATACTCAACAACGCCAAATTAACCCGAGCTTTCCCGTGTTCAAAAATGAGCTTTCTCATTTGTACACTTGTGGTTTTTGTGCCCTTGTAAAATATATAATGTCTTCTGTGTCTTTCAAACTAACATAAATATGAAGGTCTGGCTAGTACTGAAGGACAAATATTCACTCCTTTGTGGGTTCGGGAGTAGGTCCTCAAGTAAAAACTCCACTTCTACCATCCTTCTTATCAGCTAGCCTGAAAGCATAGGTAGATTTTAGACATACTGTTTTGAACGCCGTTACCCGTATTTTTTATAACTGCAGCTGTATCTATAACCTAAGTATTTTAGACCGGCATGATCCTGTTTGTCGACATATTCGAAGCCGCAAACAAAATTTATTTACTTGAACGAATTCATTCATGGGAGTTCGAACAGCCACCCAACGGCCTGCATTTTAACTGTACGAATATCCTAAACTTTCACCTCCCTAAAATTTGACTGCTTTTCATCTGCCGATTTTAAAGCCCAGACAGGTATGGCTGGACGGACGCAATGCATTTCATGATATTTAAGATACTCTGCTACTCTAGAAAGTACCATCACATGGGCTTTTTAAGAGATATGCAGTTAGCAGGGCACCTCTAAGCCTATTTTAGGGCCTAATCTGTAAACGTAGACCCTGCAGGAATTTATAAAGCACGAGTATTCTAGAAATGACGCGACATGTGGTAAAAAGCATGGCAGCATACGCGTAGTCATCAGATACGTTGTTGCTAGTCCGTCCACATATTTAGAAGATGTGATATCTCGTGAAATGTTAACCGGAATTCTGAAATGCGTTTTCGACTCGAAGAGATTACTTAAGTAGGGCTGCAGTATTAATCATCTTGCAATACAGTCAGAATGTCTCAGTTAATCCGGGATGCCGGCTTTTGAACGAAATTCTTTTGTCATTGTTTTTGGATGTCCTTTTAAATTAAAATGCATTTCTTAGAGACCATGCATAAAAATATTCATCCTTTTAGTTATCTGGAAAAAATTTACGTCCTCTTTAAATTTTGACTTTGAAAAGGGGTATGATTCTTTTTTAAAAAATTTCTAGGTAACAATCGGGAGAGGACACCCAAATATACGTTACCTAGAAATAATACCTGATATACCATTTTGAATAGGTGGCTAAATCTACCCTTGCATACCTTAGGAGAGTTGAGAAACGATCACTGTTGACCGACCATTGGGTTGTCATCCCTTACATATGTTTGATTAGGTCACGAGCGACGACATTAGTCCGTTTTTGGCTTACTTTAAAACAGCATAGCTTAGGAAAGTTGGGTAATGATCGCTTTAGACCAGTCCTGTGTTTACCAACCTTGACATTAACTTCCACAGCTGAAGAGCGAGCGCAGTAGTCGATATGCGGCCTAATCTATGGTAGCATACGTCTAAACACTCCCGATACTATCGCTGTGGACGGGCCTTTTGGCTTATCCATTATGGCTATACTTCCTTAGGTGAGGAATGACCGCAGTTGTAGGTATGGGGCTCAATCTATGGCAACATACTCTTTGGACAGTTGCAAAACGATCGCAGTAGACCCACCCTACGTTAAACAACATTATATAAGCTTCCACTGCTGACAAGTGACCGCAGTAGTCCCTATGCGGATTATTCGATAAGAGCTTACCTACGGACAATTGCAATACGATCGCCGTTGACCGAGCACTTGGATTATCAATTTTTACCATTACTTCCAGAGGTCATGAGCTACCGCAGTGGCCAGTGCGCGGCTCAGTCAATGGCTGGATAGCTTAGGACAATTGCGATAAGATCGCTGCTTTGGCTAGCAGTATTTTGTTGGGTGCCCTCTCCCGATTGTTACCAGTTTCTAATTATGAGGTTTTTTAAGATCGTGAAATGCCCATTCATAAAATCTGGTGTCTCAGCACTTGATAATGTCGCTTCTAAAGTTTACAATATGGAGAAAAAAATATTGATAAATTTTATGAATACCATATGGTCTCTTTTCAATACCAAATGGAAATATGTGAGTTGCTGTGTACGGAAAATCTACGGCTTGTAGACTAAAGACCCTGAATGCAATTGCATTGGCATTTCGGGTTTAAAATTATTTTGGAACTAGATACGTTCCTTCAAACCGATTTGTACCCTTTTTCTGAGTACGAAAACTGCGGAGGACGTAATTTGCTACCGAATATGCGAAAGAGTGAATATTTCTGTGCATGGCCTTTTAGAAAATACATTTGAATTTACAAAAGAATCGAAATTCAATGAGAAAAAATCATACTACCTAAGTAGTCATCTTTTGCAAAGTGTAGTTATTGCACGCGGCCGGAGGGAGTTCGTTCAAAAGACGGCATCCTAAAGAAACTGATTATGCTGCACCCTTATTAAGTAACTTATTGGAAGCGAAAAGAAGTTTCAAGATTTCGGTTATTATTTCATGAGTTAGCACATTTACTGTAGTCTCCCGATGGAGCCTTATAGTTCAGTCGAGCTTTTCCCAGTTTGGTCACGTGGATACGGATATTTGCATTCTACTGTCTCACAATTCACTACTCCTGATTTTAACTTCACATGAGCTGCAAATGAGGCGCAAACAGGAAGTCCTTAGTAGTTTTTGGCGACAACTGACTTATCATGAGATTACGCCGCACCGTGATGTGTATTAGAACTCTGCTTAAGTAATCTCGTCGAATCGAAAACGTTTTTCAGAATTTCAGTTAACATGTCATGAGTTAACACATCTACTGTAGGTCCAAAGGGCGACGGATGCTTAACTGGGGACCATTTTTACAGACCACTAAACATATTTTTCCGCCATAAATTTGATTTGGGCTTCTGCGATGATTTTTTTCAGTTTGATGGTGAATGCACTGCTTACACGTACACTTCTGTTTTCCCTTCAAAAACTTTTAAATATGTTTCTTTGCCAAAGAAGGAATGTAAAACGGTTTGAGTTGTTATTTCGCGACATAAAGTGAGTAAGAATGGAAAAGGCGTTCGTAATCATGAGAGCATGAATCTCAGAATTTTAATCCGAAAAGTTATATCCAAAAACTGAGGTATTTATGAATTTCTCGCATTTTTCATGTAAGGCGTGGAAACTGATCCTTTGCCGGAATTTTAGGAGTTTCTGTCAAGCTATCTACTTAAGTCATCGTTTGGGCTGTTTACTATCTCAACCTTGGTTTAAGAGACAGTGGACCAGACAGACTTTGCAGGTAACGATTGTATTGTTGTCATTGATTGCAAACTCACATTTGTATTGACCTTTAATAAAATTTACTCTGTGAAAAACTCGGCACCTCGGTGGGATTCGCACCCACGACAGCAAGGGGGGGGGCTTGAATACAACCAATGCTCTATCCATCTGAGCTTCGAGACACCACCGGACAACACGAGTTTAATCACATTTGAGTCAGTCTACCCATTCAACCTACTGCAACGTCTGGAATCCACCAAATCTGATACAGTATGCTGACTGCCCAAGCAGAATTATTTAAGTAGTACACCTAGAATCCACCAGATAACTACCAGGCTCATGCACTTAAAAGGCGTTATGACAAAATTCAAATATTTCATTTTGACCCAACTTTGATAAAATATCTTCTGCTTTCGGATGGATTTAATAACCCTCTGAGAGTCCAGAAGATATCTGTATTATCACATAAAGCTGCCCTTTCGTTTTTATTGCCCGCCTGTTGCACGTCTAAACAAATCACTGGTTTTATTCGGGACAGTGATGCAGTCACACCCAACCAGATAACAAGAAAAAAAAACGAATGTTTATGAAACTAACGAGATGGCGTGCAACGGCTCGCTTCCCAATAGGTTGGGTGCGCGCGCAAAAAATTCATGTAAACGCGTCCACTTTGGCTATCCCGGCTGATGTATGTCCACTAATCGGGTTTTAGGCCGGTGTCATAGGAACTACTGCATTTTTGTCGCCACCGTAGCGCTACAGCCTTTTGAACGTTAGGATACCTCCAGACTAAATGATCGCAATCTTGTTTGTGCTACTTCCATGCTAACCATTGGTGCTGTGAACACATTTCGAGGCAACTAAAGACATATTAACGACTCTGATTACATAGCAGACCGTTTCAGAATGCAGAGCGCGGTGTACTCAACTCTTCAAATGCATCTTTTAACAGCAGTCAGTTTCAACCATCCATAAGTTTACAAGTTATCGTGCAAGCCCTCTATCTAATGAAGAAATACGGCAGATTACGATCCAAGAGCTTGGCGGACAATCACTGGCTTTCTATGATCAATTTTAGTTGTCGAAAATCTCGCTGAGGTAATACAGCATAACGTGTAATGTGTGTAATGCGTAACGCTGCCATCCTGTTGAAGTTAAACATGACCGCGAATTCCAGGACGGCTCAGTGTGGGTGCAACTCGCTGTTATGTGAGCCAACGATCAGACTACCCCGAGGTTAGCTACGACCCAAAATGACGTTTATTAGGTATTCCGTGAATGGTAGGCTTGGATGTGTCATGTTCATGGGCGAGCGACCTGCCGACCATGTAAGTCTACCTAATATTGATTACAAAACACTATACACACTAACAGTGGGTGGGCTAACTCATCAAATGTCAAACGAGATTCAGAAATGCGTTTTTGTTTCAAAAAGGTTAATAAAGTAGGGCTGTCAAACTAATCATCATTCCATAATCATTCTCAAGCCACAGGATATTGCCCTTTGAAAGAACTGCATTTCGGCTGCATACAGAAACGACAGTCTGTTAAAAATGACTACTAGTGTAGCATGCATTTTTCTCACTTATTTTCGATGCTCTTAAAAATTCAATTATATTTCATGGAAAACATGCATAAAAAATTTCAATTCTTTGCTCGTTCGGTAGTAAATTACGCCTTTTTAAATTTTCTACTCAAAGAAAGAGTATAATTCGGTTTTAAAAAATTTGACAATTGTAAGATTTTTTAATCCCGTGCAATGACCGTTCATGAAACGTCGTGTCTCTGCATTTATCAATGAGGCCTGTAAAGTTAACAATATGGCTCAAATCCACCGTTAATTTTTATGAACCCCATATAGTCTCCTCCTAATGCCATAGAGAATCGTGTGGTTTTCTGTACACAGAAACTATGCGGTCTATAGTTTGGAAACCCTGAATGCAGGTGTAACGACACGTCGGGTTCAAAATTATTGGCGAATCAAAAAACTTTTTTTTAAAACCAAACTATACCCTCTGTTCGGATATAAAATTGAAAAAAGGCACACTTTTCTACCAAATGAGTAAGAGAATGAATATTTTTGTGCATGTTCTCTGGGAAATATAATTAGACTTTTAGGGGGATCGAAAATCCGTGTAAAAGATTCATGCTACATAAGTAGTCCTTTTTTTAAAAAATACAGTTTTTTCATGCAGACGAAAAGAAGTTCTTTCGAAAGCGGACATCCTGAGGTAGCCAAATTATTATAGAATTATGCTGAATGATGATTAGTTTTACAACCGTACATAATTAATCTTTTCGAAGCGAAAGCGCATTTCGGAATCTCGGTTGGCATTTCATGAGTTAGCCCACCTACTGTACATTGCTAGCTGAAGGTCATGCACTGTCAGTACCAGGCGGATCATGAGGCCTGTTATCAAAAGGTTTTAAAACTATGACCAAGAATGATTTACTAGTCACTGACTTCCCGTCCAAATGTCTGGAAGTAAATTCTCAGGCCAACTCGCCCGGATTTTGATTACATCCCATGTAGAAGAAGTGGCCAATGGACGCTACCGTCAATATTTGATGCCGTTGGCTTTGGCCTTACTGACGCTGTCACCGCTGTGCTGTTATCAGCCACCATTTCGCACGGACACCCGTCAGAGTGAGCGCGTATGAGCGTGATGCTTGAGCCCCAATCGACGCACCTTGAAACAATATGGTAGTTAATCAGGCAAAGTTAACGTAAGTACAGTAGGAAGGCTAACTCATGGAAGGTCAACCGAAATTCCGAAGTGAGTTTTCCTCTCAAAATGATTAATTAAGTAGTATGGTAAAACTAACCATCTCGCAGCATACTTCGATAATAATTCAGTTATCTTAGGATGTCGGCTTTCGAAAGAACTTCCGTCCGGTTGCATGCAAAGACTATACTGTGTGAAAATGACCACTTAAATAGCATGCATCTTCCCCATTGATTTTCGAAAACTGGGACAAAAATATTCATTCTTTTGCTCACGCGGTAGAAAATAACGTCTTCTTCTAATTTTGTGCTCAAAAGAGGGAATTCGGTTCGAAAAAAACTTTGCCAATTCCCGAATGATTTTGAACCGCGACCTACCGTTACACTTGCTTTCAGGATTTTCAAACTACAAGCCCTATATTTTCCGCGTACGGAAAAACATATTTCTCTACGGTATTATGAGGAGATCATATGGGGTTCGTAAACTTTGGCAGTTGATTTGAGCCATATTGTTAACTTTAGAAGCCTCATTGTTAAATGCAGAGACATGCCGTTTTATGAACGGCCATTTCACTGTATTTAAAAGTCCTATAATAAGAAACTTTTTAAAACCGAATCATACCTTTCATTTGAGTATATGATTGGAAGAAGACGTAATTTCTTACCGCATGAGCGAAAGAATCAATATTTTATACATATTTTCCGTGAAATATAATTGGACTTTTGGGAGTATCAAACCTTTATAAAAAAAATTCATGCTAATTAAGTAGCCATTTTTTACAGAGTGTAGTTTTTGCATGCAGGCGCAAAGAGGTTCGTTCGAAAGTCGGCATCCTGACGTATTTGAATTTTTATAGAATTATGTTGCACGCCGTTTAGTTTTACAACCCTACTTAATTATTCTTTTCGAAACGTACACGCATTTCGGAATTTCGGTTGACATTTCACGAGTTAGCCCACCTACTGTACGCACATGCGAACCAGGCGCGTGTGCCCCTTCAAGGAGCCGCGTAGGAAATGCGCTGGACCAGAACAAGGGTCACATTTGGGCACGTAACGAGTTAACTAGAATGTTCAGATTCCACGCATCTCAAAACAAGTGCCGAAAGTGGGGACTCGGGGAGGGGAGACTTGGTGACTCACCTATATACGAGCGCTCATGCCGCGCCAGCCTAATCCCAACACCAGCTGGCTGACCGACTCAAACAGCGGACTCGCACATGAGAGAAGGAAGAGGCAGAGAGAGAGAGAGAGTGAGAGTGAGTAGGACTGACTTTGGAGGTTCCATTCGCACAGAACCTCAGCGCATTCCTCAGTAATAACCACTATGACTCACCTTTTGATCTACCACGACCCCTTGTATGTCCGTGGCTTGAAAGGCTTTCAACTCGATCCTCCCAGGACGCATAAGGGCTGCAATGGTAACTTTTAAATGCGGCAGCCAATGGCACTCGCACTCTGATGGAACCCCAGCAGTCCTTTGTTTCTGTCAAAACCTTATCCATCGACTTAAAAACAAAGCTCTAAGAATGGGGATCATAGGAATCGTCTATTCAATTAATATCGAGGTTTTAGCGTTGCGAAAACTCCCATTGAAGAATTCAAAAGACGATTTGGCAAGCAGAGATAAGCTTTCGATAAATTCTCATCAGGCGATACATTTATATTGCCATCGAAAAGATTAAAATGAAAATGCGGGCAAGCAGAACTTATTCTGTAGCTGGGTGGGTGAGGAGAAAAACAGAATTACTGTCAGTGTCAGGGAGAAGAAGGGGATGTTCGGCACTGGGACGGGTAATTATACGCAGGTGGCTGGCATGGTGGCTTGGGCCTATGGTAACTGTGGGGCCTGTACGAAGTACTTTTTTGCGCATAGTCTGATTGCAGCAGCCTCTGATGTTGCCAACAGACGCTGTCCAAGTGATTTCGTATGGCTTGACGGGACCTTGTAAATCATCCGGAATGCCTGTCCGGCATCTACACAGTGATCTGTGTCTACCATGTGGGCAGAGATGGAGCTCTTGACGTTCTTTATTTCGCCCTTTCCTAACCATGCTGGCAGGCGTTCCCTTATTCTTTCGGACAAAGGCCGTCTCGTGCGGCCCATATATTCTGCCTCACTGGAGCAGGTGATGGGGTAGAAGTGGTCTAGACTGGCAATTTGTCCTTGCCCTCTCCGTGTAGGATGGGGTAGGGGAGAAGAGTACACGGACGTCAGCTGATGGAAAGGTGCGGGATACAGCTTGCGTCATGCGCCTTCTTAGAAGTTTACTTGGCGCGTCCGCTTGAAGCGGAACCCGGATAAAAAGCTTCTTCTTTTCTGCCGTCAGCATCGGGGACTGTGGTGGTCTTTCGGTTATTCACTTGGCAATGGATCGATCGGGGTACCCGTTCCGATTAGAAATGCTCGAAAGCCTACGCATGCTCGTTAACTTGTATTTTGAAAATCGAGGTGCTATTTTAACTACGTAAAAAGCTAAATAAGGCAGGGCTCACTTCAGCTAACCAATAGAATATTTAAGTCTACTTACTGAAATGTCAGCGCGGGCGACCGCAGTTGAAGAAACAGAAAGAAACCCACCCCAACAGATTGAGGAAAAGCAAGATCTCAGTAAAATAAAAGTGTGATCCGAGGGAATAGCCAAAATAAAAGAGTTTCTGAATGCCGCAATGAGAGGAATTGATCTCGATACTAACCTCAACTCTCCAAATGTGGTAACGACTAGGTGGTTATACAGGCCTTCTTACTTAGGATCGACGCAAATGTAAGAACCCCAAGTTTCGTAGAGACTCGCATACAGATCTCAATAATTTTGACTTCTCTTCTCAGTGCAGCCTAGCACGTCGAAGGGATTTTAAAGTACTTGCCTCTTGCAAATACCACCACTTTTCCGCAAAATGGCGGTAGTTTGGACTTAACCATTCACCCTAGACAATAAGCGGTCAATTACTTCCACTCACATAGCTACTATACAGGGATGATGAAACAGCAGTGGCCCAAAAAATTTCTGAGTTCTTCGTTTTTACAGTAGGTGGGCTAACTCATGAAATCTCAACAGAAATTCCGAAGAGCTTTTTCGTTCCGAAAAGATTAATTCAGCAGGGTTTTAAAATCGGTCGTTGTGCAGCATAATTCTATAATAATTCAGTGACCCCAGGACGCCGGCTTTCGAATAAATGTCTTTTCAGCAGCAATCAAAAACCATACTCCGCAAAAAATGACTGCTTATGTAGCATGCATTTTTTTCATTGGTTTTCGCTGCCCTTAAATATTTAATAATATGTCATGGACAACATGCATAAAACTATTTATTCTTCTGCTCATTCAGTAGAAAGTTACGTCTTTTTCCGATCTTATACCCGAATGAAGGGTATTGCTCGGTTTCAAAAAGTTTCTAATTGTAAAACTTTAAAATACCGTGAAATGGCCGTTCATAACTCGTCATGTCTCTGCATTTACCAGTGTGGCTTGTAAAGGTAACAGTGTGGTTCAAATACACTGCTAAATTTTATGAACCCTCCATGACCTCCTCTTAAAACGGTAGAGAAATGTATCGTTTTCCGTACGCGGAACTTATACGGCATGTAGCTTGGGAACCCTGGGTGCAATTCTAACGGCAGGTTGGGTTGAAAATTATTCGGGAATTAAAAAAGACTTATAAAACTAAAAAATACCCTTTCTTCGAGTATAAAATTAAAAGAATACGCAATTTTCTACTGAATGAGCAAAATAACGAATACTTTTATGCATGTTTTCTACGAAATATAATCAAATCTTTAAGGGCAGCAAAAATTAATGAAAATTGCATGTTACATAAGCAGTAATTTTTTACGGAGTATGGTTTTTGCATGCTGCTGGAAAGGCATTTTTTCGAAAGCCGGCGTCCTGAGGTAACTGAATTATTATAGAATTATGCTGCACACCGACTGGTTTTAAAACCCCAGCGAATTAATCTTTTATAAACGGAAAGACATTTCGGAATTTCTGTTGAGATTTCATGACTTAGACCACTTACTGTACATAGGTTACGCAAATATTTTCATGATAACCTAAGTCCATTATTATAAGTAATTTGTGCAAGTCTTTCTGGTCTATCACGGTGAAATTGGGGACAACTGAAGGAGATCTTGAATGTGTACTTAAAGTGTACCTTTCCTCTCTTTGTCTGCGAGCACCTGTGACGTAAGATCTGTCTCCAAGTCAGGCTGCACCAGTGGCAGCATAGCTTAGCTGCCCAACACACCAGTTCGCTCCAGGACCTGAGTCTTAATATCCGACCCTGCCACTTCGTATGAAATCGTTCGAAAACATTTTCGGCCGAAGCGTGTTGGCCTTCTCTCCTGACCTTGGATTTTCTTCACATCTCCGGATCAGGACCCTTTACACCTCGAGATTCTTGTTGATGCCAAGGTACAGTGACTTCGGGCTACATATGGTGACCTGGCAAACTCACGCTGCATTCGTACCATTTATTTGGATCACCCGTTAGACTGTGGCATTACAGTAACATAATTTGTCCACCGTTAAGAGAAGGTTATTAATGACAGACTTTGAGCGTGGGATACATCCAATCAACAAAGGCCGTTTACCATGTGTAGATGGTTCATCCGGAAGTGGTGCATCCGAAAATAAAATTATCTAAAAGTCACTGCAAGCCCCGTTCAGTGGAAATTCGTTGTCACTTGAAACCGACACTTGTGGGTTTCTGTACACGTACAATCCCATCCTCTCTGTATCCCGTATGTTTAAGTTGGATCACGTATATTTGCTGCAGTTTAAGAGGAATCAACTAGGCTGTTTGAGTCAGGCTTTAGACTGTCACGGGTTGTCTGCCTTCGCGTATATCTCCTGAACAATTAGCAAGCTTTTCAAGCCACGGATCCCGCTAGTGGTTAATATCGTAGCTGCGGATAAGACTGTATTTGATGCGCGGGAACTGGTTGTCACACTGACCACAACTTTAAATGTCTAGTTACTCTAATTTTGTCACTCAAATCTGACTCCAACTGGCGCCGCGAGTGTGCTGAATGCGTCCATCGTCCACTAGTGACCGGGGGGGGGGGGCGAAGCCGGCTTAACAGAGCCGAATCTGTAAACAAATAGTTGATTCAGTCAGCCTGCATTTCACCAGCTACTCGATGACTTCAAGATGGACAGACGCGTTTTTATCTCTGGACCACCAAAAGCGCCAGCAAAAAGCAGCTCCACCTGTGAGGTCCATTTATGGACGTGTGACTGTTTTCAGCTGTAAAAAAGCACTGACAGTATACAAAATAAATGTTTCGGCCGGGATTTTATGGCACCTGTCAGTCTCTTTGGCGTCTCTGATGCGCTTTACTGGCGGAATGTGACCTAGTGGCTTTTGTTCACGCATAAAACAAGTTAATGTTTTCATCAAACTCATAGTTTGTTTAAATTATCTGGAGGACGGGACTGAAACTGTAGAGAGAAGTGGACTTAACTGGATTCGTTTGAGAATTCAGTAGTAAAATCTGCCGGACATGGTAATCACCAGACATATGACTGCTCAATAAGGACTACATCCTTGTGATGTCCTACGTTTTCGCATCTGTTTCCGATGATGGCCTCGGAGCACGAATACGAATCGTCGGGTGAAAAAACTCTTGTTTCATCGAGTCAATCACTTTCTTCTTAAACACTGCCTGAACATCTTTCTTACGTCTGTATCTGATGAAAAAAGCTTGCAAAGATAAGTCACCAGTTTTCACTCATCTTTTGATATTTTAGGTATGCTATGAGCATTTTACCTTCAGTCAACGATATCGTACCCAAACACGGGTAGTATTTCTGACGATGCTGTCCTTGGAGGGAGCGTTTTCCTGTGACTTCTGAGGGTGTCTGTACTGTTTTGGAAGAGAATCGGGCATTTCTCATGCAGAATAGCCCTCACTTGCCTTTTAAAGATCAAAGGCGTTCGGCACAAACGATAGATAATGTCATTGCCTGGTTTTCTTACGGTCGAGCATCCACCCCACTAAGTCGGTTGCCTACGTTACTATATTTAGCTGCACACCAAATCAAAATAAAGCATACTATGTTGTACTGTAAACAGGTATTGGTAGGAGATTCCGGAAAAGTGGTAAAATTCCACGATTATTATCCCTTCCCGGATGTTGCACTTGCCGATACCTTAGATTCGTTTGTTTGCATTCTCCGTTAGTCTGACTGGTTTAGTTTAATTTCTGACTCAGCTTTAATGGTGCTTATTTCTACTAACCATTTTACCCTTTTTACTAAGTACGTTGATAGGTTCTTCTAAATTATTTCATAGGAAAAGGGTTTGTCTGCCGGTATTCGGGTGTTGGGGACTACAGCTGCCCGCGAATAGTGGAAATCCGTTTGAATTACATCCGGTTTTCTTTTGGTGTGTTTTTGAGGTAAACTATGCATTCGGCATCCATCAACCTCGAATATTTTAGCGTACACACAGACTCAAATGTGGCTTCGTGAAATTTTAAATGAAATTTTAAAATGTATTCTCATTTTAAAAATTATATGGGTAGAAATGAAAGACTGACAATCACGCATCATAAGCCCAGAATATTTCACTCACACCAGAATGCCGACTTCTGAATGACCTCTCGTCGGCCGCCTGAAAAACATCAATCCTATGAAAAGAAACGCGGAAGAAAGATACATTTTCTCCTTGATTTTCGACGCGCGAAAACATTTTCTTATATGTGTTCGTCGGCCATTTACATTACCGTCAAATCGCACAATTGGTTAAATGGAATCTTTGGTGTAAAAAATCTTTTCCAACTGCCGGATTGGTCGGAGCTTATTTCGTAGCCGTAGCTACAGTAGACAAACTCCAGCCTAACTGCTAACTCTTGCCCCCGGATGATTTGGATCATGACCTGTAGTCGAACTTGCGTTGACGATTTCCTAGCTACACGCTGCATGCATTCCGTGTGAGGAAAATCATACATTACCCTAGGCCATCATGAGAGCTCCATATAGGGTTTACAAACGTGCACAAAGATGTGGACCAATTTGCTTATCCCCAAGGTATCATTAGTTAAAGGGACATATGCGATGCTGTAAGAGTAGACATTTAATACCCTTAAAAATATCACAATAACAAACTGTGTAAACCGAAAGACTCGCTCATATCAAGCCTAAAATTAGAAGAAGACGCCATCCATCACCGGACGAGTACAAAATGGGGCCATTCTGGAGAATGATTTCAGTAAGGCCATTAAAAATTAATGGGAAAATTCCACACTAACTAGGTAGTCATTCTTAAGCAGTGTGTCTCTTGTGAGCCGGCAGCCTAGTGCGACTGACTTGTCTCGGGATTATCCGGCACCTCACTCATGCAATCCTTTTTAATTGAAAACACACTTCAGCATTCCTGTTAACATGGCTTAGATAGGCCACTACAATGTCCTCTGCAATATGGAAAGATGAATCTCCAGCGCCTAGTTGCTGTGGCATTTAATAATCATTTTGCGGTCATACTACATTCGGCTTCTCAGCGAGACTGCCAAACTCGTCACTGAGTCAAGAACCATTTTTTGACATGACTTACTTATCAAATGTACAGTGCTTCAAGGTCTCCACCATCTGGTATAAAACAAATAAATCGAAACCATCCCACTCATTTTTTATAAGACCGCTACGAGGGCTACAAAGAAGGGGAATAACCCCATGCACACTTTTACATTATGTGGGTTTTATCTGTTGGAAATGAAAGAGGAAATACCGACTTCAGAAGGCATGGCATTCATATGACTGCTGGTATGGTATAAACTGTTATTAAGGGCATACATATTGACCGTTACTTGGGAGAATTTTGTTCCGCAGAGGCAGTTTACTTAACAGTGAAGTAGGCAGTTGTTTAAATCATTATTTTGTCTAACAACAAAACTGATACGATCCATACTGTGCTGGGAAAATTCCCCAGATTGTTGTCATTTGCCCGTAGCCTTTAAACAAATTAGCTAATGCCATCAACGAACAGGCACGCCTTTTACTATGGATTTCGGTTTGTGCACTATGTAATCCTAAAACCGAGCAAACACAAGTACCATGGTAGTTTACGAACAACCGAAAGGAAGCGCGATGGACTTCAGACGTATGGTTTGGTCCTTGAGCTGGCCTTGCAGCTATGACGGTAAGCTACGGTTATCAGTCAACATGACCTGTTTCTTTGATGGCGAGACGATGGCAGCAGTCTAATTTTTAATAAAAAACTGGCTGCAAAACTTCCGAAGTGTCTTAAAGACTTTCATATATTACAACACATATTTATATAAATATATATGCGAACGAAGGCAGTATTCAATTCAGGATGAACAGTGCAGGCTAGAAATCGAAATATTGAATTATACCCACTGATTTTCGAGCTGATTACAACGACACGTTGTCAGACAAAATAACTAGTAGGAAGTTAGACATATATTTCATTATTTCTTCATAGATTGCACATTAACTCCGTTATGCATGCATATATAAAAGTAAGGATTCAAGGTCCAGCTAAATTATCCTGTTCATCATCCTTAAAATGGAAAGAATAAGAAAAAGAGTTGCTTCCATGGACAACACTGTATTTGTGCTGACATATCGGAAACGTCGTACTTCCCAAACAAATTTTCCGAAATATCGGCACAAGTACAGTGTGGTCAATGGAATCGCCCCGTTTAAATCTTCATCTATTTTAAGGTTAATTAAAAGGATGTTTGCATGTATATACGAATATGTGACGGCTCTGTCTGAATTGCATAACTTTGGGAGTACATATGATGGCGAATATGTCATCTTCGTGGGTAGGTAATGACCTCATGCTCGATGGTGGTCTTTGGATGGGCTGTGAACTTTACGAAATTGACTGAGACGCCGTCAACCCACGATGCAACAAGTCATTTGAGGTGACCTTTCGTGCTGCTCATCATTGCAGCGCGCATTAAGAGCATGCAACATCATTGCGAGATTTTTTCGTTTCAATAGTTTATTTTTACTCAGGACGCCGCCAAATAGTAAAAAAATCAATCAGCACTTTGAGAGTTTATAACTGGATCAATTAGACAGGTATTGCTGGCTGAGAGCTATTCAACAGCATCACAGATAATAGGTTGCTTTAATTCATGCGGCAACCGTTAAGCATTTATATTAAACTTAATGAAAACAAAGTAATATAGAGGAATGGAGACTTTCCTACTCCGGATGCTTTGGGCTAATATCCAAGGAGGTTAGGGCTAGTGTTAGGGTTAGAGATAGGGTCAATCTTGGGTTTCGGGGAGGGTTTGGGCTAAATTATGGTTAGAATTAAATTTAGGGTTAGGATTAATGTTTGGCTGGGTTCCTGACAGAGTTAGGATCAGTAAGCGGGGATGTTTACCCATTTTCGAATCTTTTGTAGGACCAGGTGTTTTGAGTGGGGGAGGTGAAAGAATTCCCACTCTTGCGTATTACCAAAACCAATTCTCAATAGTAGGTATATTTACCGTAATGACTTCTGGTGTATATGCTTCTTGCATTTATCTCATATTGAGTTAAAATGATGCCGACAAAATCTCTTGAACTGACCTGTTAATGATACATATCGAATCGAAGTTTTACGTATTTAAATATTCTACCTCAGTTTATCCAGCTAACGTTCATTATGCCTGCCAGTGATTATGGGAAACAGTCATGCGAGCTTCGTCTAAAGCGATCCTATAGTGAGCAGAATACGATCATCATTCAATATCAGAACTGAGGCCCGCGTTTTCTAGTTTCTGATCAGACCTACAAACTGCACTTTGTCACGAGTCCCAGCCGTGTCTACGTTCGCGACAATATGTGCACCTTGAAGCATGACTTTCAGCTCTGGTCACCAAGTCTTTTTCAGCGTTACTTGACCTAACGCGCTTGATTTCAATTTATGGAGGCAGAGACGATGAAAAATTGTCCCAACATCTATGCAGTGTAGTACAATTTTGTCTGCGTTTTAGAAAGTGCATACCATTTACTTCGAGAAATTTCAGCCCCTATTCATAAACCTTCCTAGTGACTTAAATTACTGTGAAAATTCGAAACTCATAAAAACCTGGCTTATAATTTCGTATCGCCAACGGTTTTCAACGCCTAAGCCCTTTCGTGTCGAATGGCCGAGTTTCGCCCCATCAAGGGAGTGGACGACCACTTAACTGCCATGAATCTCGATCGATTATCGACATAACAGAGTCGGAGTGAGTAACCTTCAAATTGTGAGGGAGGGGGAAGAACCACGCTAGTCTGCGCTGTGATTATGTCAGTTAAAAAAACACTGGAAAAACAAAGCTTGCATTTTACTGGTTTGGTCTTGCAGGGACTCACAGAAATTAATCACATTCATTTCTGTGATTTCCACCTACTACTCAGGCCTCATGAGTAATTTCCATCTGAACATGCTATTCCACGCAAGCCAGGATAATTAAATGCGATTTCTGCAGTCGCTGATTCCAATACTAGCAGAAGGCTACAAGATGGCAATACGCTAGACTTCCGGAGTAGCACAAGGTGTAGAACGAATGGCCACTGCGGTTGTCTGGACATTTTATTGCAGTGGAGGGACATTTTCGTGGCATCTAATGCCAGAGAGGGTGCACTTTATCGCCCGCAGATCCGGCAGTTCGTCTGAATTTCTTTTAAGTTTCTGACAATGAAACTTCTTTTTGCGGTATCTGTCAACGCCTGCCCTGGTCTAGTTACTCTATTGATGGCGCCACACACATTTAAAACAAATAAAAAGAATGGCTTTGTTTATCGGCAGTCAAAGTTCGCTGACGAAGTCTGAACTGTTTACAGATACTAGGCACCAATTATAATGGTCATACTGTAAGACGTACGTAAATTCTAGGGTGCAACTTCTCTTAGAAAGCAGGCCTGAAACAGAAGAGGGTCTACCCATGCCCGAGGCGCTTAAATATAATTTGTTTTAAGACTGAATATGACACACTGGTCTGCCTGTAATGGTATGTTTGTCCCTGAGTGTACGTCTCACGCAATTACACCATAATGAATGTGTGTGTGTGTGCGTAGTGCTTCCGTTCCATGGTTGATAGAACGTGACTCTGTGCGCGGCTAGGCCATAAATAGCATACAAGGCTTATCAGCGAGGTGTGATAAATCGCCAAGCCGACTTCTGACCGATCGGCGCCATTTGCACCTTCCCTCCGAACACTTCTGACAGCCGTAAATAGAAGATAAATTGGTTTTCTTACTGGTAGAAATGATTATAGGTGTCGAAATGTAAGGAGCTTCGAATAAACTGGGTCGAGTCGTGACCGTATGGCTACATAAAATATGCCAGGAATGATCATTCTAGTCTCCCCTTTCACCAGGAAGACTTAGGCGAAGGAGTTTCGGAGCTATAAAAATACATAAGTGTCCGCCCCTTCATCAGGGCGGATTGAAAAACGGCATTTATATGTGACTTCTGCGTGGGTTGCGAAGGCACGACGCAAATGGCGTATGATTCGGAGGTTAGAGCTCACTACCCAACAGATTATGATACAGAATACCGAAAATTATTAAAGGATATGACCATTTTCTTCTTTTGGACACAGTTCTGCTGTTAGTATTCGGAGTCGGCCTAGATGATTTAGAGGATGATGACCTGCCACTTGATGTTGGAACATATAATCCGCCAATGAGTTGCATGAGAAGAATATTTCGAGCAAAATAAGTTTTGGGAAATATAACACACTTTATTTCATAGTTTTTCGACTCAGATTTTCAGGTTGTCCCCCGACATGAAGCAAATGTTCAAAACGGCCATTTAATAAGACACGCCCAAAATCGTTATTGTTTTGTCATTCCTGCCAGTCAGCCACTCCGGTGGTTTGACCTCACGTTCTACCAGGTAAGGTAACCCAAAAATGTTGTAAACGATGCGTGTTAAGACAAGAATTAAAAGCAAAAGACAGGGAACTAGACTGATTCGATGAGGCGCCCAAACTAAAAACGGGAGTGCAATTCCGCACATTAAGAAAGTGTCCGAATTCGGCGAAAGACATCTGGGGAGGCACCAAGTATACACGGTGCATAAACTGAGGATTACGCTATAGCAGCCAGTTTCTACACCATAAAAATAGGATTTACTATTTGGATAAGAAAGACGTTGGCTCTAAGATTCTATGCGGCACCTACGATACAGTTTACTCTGGCCAAACCGGAAAATCTACCTTTACTCACATAAGCGAATACTAACTGGCATTAAAAAGGCGCGACCACTTGTCTCAGGTTGCCAAGCATATACTATAACCTGGGCACAACGTAGCCTGGAGCAAGATTCGTTTTATAGGTGCCTATTCATCTAAGAAATACTGAGAATTTTTAGAGGCCATTTATTTCGATAAGTCATGCATCAATCGGCACATCTAATCAGACGACGTGTACAATACTATCAAGAAAAATGGAAAAGGTGCTGGCCAATCAGAGCCTTACGCCAGCACACAGTAACACTTCGCTAACACGAATGACAGAGCGATATCGATTTTTTGAAAATGCTTTAATCGTGACTGTTTCACACTTTTACTGAACGTCTGAGGACGGCTTGTGGAACTAGAGTCGAACAGTTGTAAAATAAAGTTGTTTACCTATCTCCAAGAACTTACTTCATTCGAAACATTTAATTTAATGACTACGTTCCTGCAAAGCAGTTCTCAGCTATACCTGCACAGAGATAGGCAATAACGGTGGCCGCCGATGGAGGCGTGGAAGGTGAAGCATGGAGCTGTTAGAGGAATAGCACGGTCGTCTGCTGTTTCGTACCACCGGTATCAGAGTGCGAGAAATATTCAGGTTCAATATGGGGCCCTCATCGTGCACTGCTAGTTTTACACTTCACAAGTATCCTTGAAACATTTAACTCACAGCTGATATTTCGTAGACGACGGTATGCGACTTCATAGATGGGACTGACGGTGGCCTGAATATCATAGCGATCTGCTTTACTTTATAGCAAGTAGAACCCTCCTAGGGCTAGTGAAAAAATCAAATGTCTGTTAATATCAAATGCAGGCAAAGGGCGCCGAATATCAATCAGTATGCAGAGTCGGAAGAATGAAGAAAATTGTAATTTCACATCCAAATAGTCAATCAGTTTCCTTGTTAATATCTGTCCACCGTTATTCCTAACAGAATGGACTCTCGAAGGGAAGGGGTGTACTTATAAGTGGCACGTTTTTATGCAGCTACTGCGGCGAACTATGGCCTCAAAACTCAGTGGGCCCCGGCTGAGACTAATTAATCCGCATAACCACTGGAGCAATGACTGTTGATACGAGGATGGCAGAGTGCCTTCGCAATCTTCCCCTCATCTTTTGTGACGGCCCTCCTATAATGACCGCCCAAACTGATTGCCCCAAATGTTGCGGATTTGGGTCTTTCTGCCTCGGCATATTCGTCCGCCACCAAGTAGATGACTAAATGGTCTCAATGTCAGATTTCAGAGGATGATTGGATACTTGGCACTTAAACCACGTCCCAGCGACAGTCGAATGCCTGTGAAAATGTGGGCACGTTGTATGTGGTTTTGAAAACCACCGGAAGCAGCAACGGTGATTCGTCGTTCACGTTGCGATGAATGCAGAAATCGCCACCGTATGTAGCATTCCCGGACAATAATGCGTGGTCACAGCGTTGGCTAGCTAAAAAACATTTTTTCACTGCTTGTATGCAACGGCGGAGAGTTCTACCATCGTAGGCGCCTTGGAGGTCCCGGCTAGATCGCTCAGACCACTTGGAAGAGTAAGCATCTACAGGCCACTCTCAGCGCTCTGCGAAATGGAGTCGAGTCCTCAGGGAAGGAAGGAATATTGCACCGACTACCGGCTTCATGCCACCTAATCAAACGGAACGGGTTAAAGTCTGTAGTGGCTGCATGTGATAATCGGCTGGCGATGTCTAGATTCGTCCCCAAACCATAAACCACCTACGAAATTCTGACTTCGACTAGACAGCGTTTTGGTGGTTGGTTGAGGCTACAGCCCCGTTTCAAGGTTCATACAAGGGGTACGCCCACAAAGAGACTTGCCAATGACCAGCCTCACTGTCGGGCGCGAGGACATACTCCTAGGAATGTCGGTGAAGTGAGAAACGCAAATGAGGCGATCGGATGACACTGCCTGCGACCAGAAAATGGCTCAGGATCCACCCCCCCCCCATTCGAGATCCACGCTGGGAAGGCCGTGGGGGGAGAGGAAACGAAGGCTGTAAGTGTGCTGGAGAAACGTGGACAGCGTAAGGAGTTCTCCGAAGATACGCAGCCGAACTATCCCACTTCTCCAGGCAGACGCTACTTCGTCTAGCGATGTTGTTGCACCATCGAAGACACAATGTGCCGAAAGGTTTACTCGTATTCGAATAAGCCGTTTTGCAACATTTTATGGCGAAATATTTAGCAATAGGTGATTCCTCATCGATCGGTAAACGGGAGGACGGAAAAGTATTTTTGTATAAAAGGCTTAATGAGAGACAATGAACGATCGCAAACAAAGAAGTAGCCGCGACAAGGACGAGGGAGTCTGAGATACCGATTTTTGGACTCTATACCACCCGCTTAAGTAGGCCATATCTCTTGAGGGGAGTTTCAGGGCAAAGGAAAGCTCTCATATGGTGTCTTATAATCAGACCAAATTTGGCTCCTCATGTAGAGGCAACGATAGGGTGTAGGACCCCCAACTAACTTCAGCTAGCCTGTGCACCGTGTCATACGTTGAAGGGTGGTAGAGGAAGTTTACCGAATGTGGCAACACACAGAACGGAGAGCTATAAGACACAGAAAGTAGATAAATTCTTGCTAAATGTCATATCGTACGCTGTCGTTTTTGGGAAAAAAATGAGCGCGATAAGCAAAAAGCAATTTTAAATGTAAATAACTTTGAATGAAGCGCCGCTCTATAGTTTACATTTAGTCAGGGAGAGAAGTAAATTTCGTACAATGGGAACGGCGAATAATAGGTGATGCTTGCAGACACACATGCATTTCAACATTACAGAAGTACACAGAAAGACTCTAACTAATGGAAGTCGATGACGTGATAAATGTCAGGTTTCAGTAGCAAATGAATGTATGTACATTTTGCCAGACGTGAATAGAAAACCACCGTAGTATTTCGCATGTGGAGAGTATTGGACAAAACGTTGCTTTTAGATCAACAACCGCCCAATTTAATAAACGCACTCTTTTTAACCACAACAGCCATTTAGTCAACGAAGCAAGTTGAACTCGTTGGGCCATCGACCGGTGCTTCTGGCGATTCCACCATGGGCGAGTCGAGTTCTTCGCTCATGTCAGACGATATATGACAAAGTCAGAGAGTTCATTTCGTTTACACTGCGTGCTAAACGTCAGAACTCGTCCGGTCAGCACAGAACAGAACCTCCGTTACATCGTTGTGTTGGGTACTGATTAGGGATGTAAATATTAGTGGCGCAACGCTGATTGACTGTCTGTCATATCTTTAGGCGAAAGATGATTGACACAGAGGAACAAACGTCCGGCTGTGTCGGGCTCCGGATTTTAGTGGGTTACCTTGACTGATGCTCCAACTGTTAATTTGCTGACTGTTTCACTAATATCACGTCTTATCTGTTCTTCAAGTAAAACCCCGAAATCCAGCAATTCTAGGTGGAGGGCTACTCAGATTACAGTAGGCTTGCATTGCATGACAGGATGATATACTATCAATTGAACTTACCTACCAGTAGATGTGGGTGCGATGTCTAGAAGATAGCCCAAACAGCACCAGTTTGCAAATGCCACCGTTTCAATGCCGTCTCTATAGTTGTGTTACACCCTAGGGCTGCAAATCTTTAAGCGACTGCTATGCCAGGATCGGTAAACCATGACCTTCGCAGCCTGGTCTGCGCTGGCAGTTTTCTGACACCTGGTTCCATGCTGATAGATAAGCTAACGTTCCCGTGAGCATGGTTACCTAGTCATCCTTTTCTTCTTTCTGGCACCTTCTGGTGTTGCAGTTGTAGGTCAAAATCCTAGACAAGTTTGGTTTGTTTCAGGGGGTGGGGAGTGGGGCGACAAGTTGCGATCTCGGCCGCACCATTTACCCGCGTCCTCCCCGTCTCCTGTCTTTTGACTTTGTCTTAATACCGCGTCCGGGCGGGTGAGGAAAAAGTGCGATAGATTCAGCGAATGTCTGCGGTCGCTATAAACTAATCTACGCGCAAGTCACCGTGCCAGCCTCACTGTTCTGTGGAGCACACGGTGGACATCTTTGAGCACAATGGTCAAACTGCCTTACATCTCAATATTCCACAATCTTCCACTTTAATGTTTCCTCTTTCGAATTTTATGGACTCAGACAAAGATTCGATCATTGTTTTTTAGCTATAGTTCCTTGTGTCTTATGAAATGCTGACCGAAGTTTTGAAATACGTTGTGGACTAGAAAATATTACTTACACTTCGTGGCCTATCGAGGAGTGGTCACGGAGTGCGCATTAAAACGCTTGCAGCACACGAGCCGCCACTCCGCACCACCGAAAGCCATACTGCGTAAAAGAAATGACCGATCCTCAGGGGAGGCCGTAGTTGGGTTAGTACGTTAATTTTTTATTTCACAGAAAAGCATAAAATCAGAAGACGACTTTATGACAAGTCAGTTAGTTAAAAACTATGTAACTGACAGCGGGAAAGGAAAATATGATAGAACGACAAAATGGTGAACCACAGTAACAAATACATCGTTGATTGTACTTTTACTGTTGAAATTCCCGTAATTCTGATGAACATAGAGACTATTAAGATGTATATGGCTGTTTGGGTTGTGTAATTGCAAAACACAAAATCCAGCTCTAGCTGCCATAAAATTGTGTCGTTTTTCTTTCGATAAGTGGAAAGAGATTTTTAACGGAGGGACAGGAATAAATAGAGTGAATGGGCTAACTGATGAAATCTCAACAGAATTTCCGAAATGCGTTTCCGTTTCAAAAAGAGTAATGAAGTAGGGTTGTAAAAATAATCATTATGCAGCATAATTCTATGGTAATTCAGGTATCCCAGGATGTCGGCTTTCGAAAAAACGTCTTTCCGACTGCATCCAAAAACCATACTCCGTAAAAAATAACTACTTAAGTAAATGACATTTTCTCATTGACTTCCGATGCCCCTAAAGATTAAGTTATATTTCATGGAAAACATGTATTAAAATATCCAATCTTTTGCTCATTTGGTAGTAAAATACTTTTTCTTTCAATTTCATGATCGAAGAAAGTGTGTAATTTGATTTCTTAAAACTTTTCCGATTTCTAGATAATGTTGAACACAACCTGCCGTCACACTCGCATGCAGGGTTCCCAAACTACAAGCCGTATATTTTCTGCGTAGAGAAAAACATACATTTCTCTATCGTGTTAAGAGGAGACCATATGGGGTTTATAAAATTAAGCAGTGGATTTGAACCACATTGTTACTTTTACAAGCCACATTGTTAAATGCAGAGACATGACTTTTATGAAGGTCCATTTCACGGTATTAAAAACTCTCACAATTAGAAACGTTGTGTAAAACCGAATTATACCTTTGCTTTGCGTATAAAATTGGTAGAAGACGTGATTTGCTACCAAATAAGTGAAAGAATAATTGGCTTTATGCATGTTTTCAATGAAAGATAATAGACTTTTTAAGGATATCAAAAATCAGTGAGAAAGTTGCATGCTACTTAAGTAGTCACTTTTTGCAGAATATAGTTGTTGCATGCAGTCGAAAATAAATGCATTCGAAAGTCGACAACCTGAGGTAACTGGATCATAATCGAATTATGCTGCAGGTTGATTAGCTTTACAACCCTACTTAACTAATCTTTTCGAAACGGAAACGCATTTCGGAATTTCTGTTGAGATTTCATGTGTTAGCCCACCTACTGTATGCTTGCAGGCCGCATGCGGAAAGAGTGGTTGTTGTCTAAAAATTAGATTATTGACGTAGGCTAAAGTAGAATCATACCTGCTTTGAACGGTTAACGGGGGCGTTATCCTGAAACATCGCATTGTTTATTAAAATTCAATGAATACCGTTTTAGCCAAAGAATTGTTTACGAGATCGATGAATACCCTACTATTAATGATCTCGGTTGTCAACCACCAGACTAGTCGTTCTCTGCATTTCATGGCCATCCTAGCAATCAGGCGTCGGCAGTTCTTGAAAATCGTTGTCGTTAAAGTGTGTTCTCGTGGAAAGATTTTCACATACATAACCACCTGCGCCTACCACGAGGTATTGTCCGAAAATAAAACCACATCAGGAAAGTAAATGTTCTACCTCTTATGAAAGTCCACGGTCAGTAAAATCGTAAGCAACCAAGAAACGTTCTCTGATAAGTTTTTTTGTTCGGAAATGGCTTGTTCTTAGTGATTTGTGGATGTAAGCTGGAGAGTTGTTGTCCTTTTTCTGCTACGCTCGGAAAGCGTTGTCAGTGTCAGGCGAATAGAATAGTCGTCTTGCCTGCCGTTGTACCGTTTTTGTTTGCATAATTCCAGTCATTAATCTATTATTTATAACTACCCGCAGAGTGGTCTGGCTGATATTTAAGATATCAGCTATCAACACACGGGGCAGTCGACGTATATAGGGCGTGCCTTGACATCACCTCATGGCGTAACACGTGAAAGCGACTGCATATCACTGATGCTTCATATATATATGTGTTTACACCTACCAGTTCTCGATGTGATCAAAGAAACAACTGATAATCAAGAATACCATTGCGTTTTTTTGGTACATAATCAAAAATGTGTAGGATGAAATTTTTAGTGCAATGGTATAGAGAAGGACCCCACCAAACTGTCAGTAGACTGTGGATCGTGCCTTAGGTAATTTATGGTAAAGGAAGTTTTACGACTGGGGCACCCGGCTAGACAGTAAGCTGACAAAATATGAGAAAACGCAAACATTGCCCGAATTTATCCGAAAGTCTTATTATACAATATTGCACGACAACGAAACTGAGAAGAGTAATAAAATGCTCTAACCACTTGAGCTACGATGACCCACCGGACGACGCGAGTTTAATCCCATTTGGGTAGAGTTACCCATCCAACCTTCTGCAATGTCTGGAATTCACCAAATCTGATACAGTAAGTTGACTGCTCAAACAGGATTTTCTACGTAATTAACCTAGAATCCACCACATGACTTGGAGGCTCACGTAATTCATAGATTTTTGACTGCTTTCACAGTTGGGTCAATATGAATTATTGAAAATCTGCCAAAAATCTATGAATTAAGCGATCTTGGTAGTCATCTGGTGGATGCTAGATGAAATACTTAGGAAATCTTGCCTGGGGCAGTCCACTTACTGCATTAGCTTTGGTGGATTCCAGACACCGCAGAAGGATGGGCGAGTAACTTGACCCAAATGTGATTAAACTCGCGTTGTCTGGCGGGGCCTCGTAGCTCAGGTGGTTAGGGCGTTGACTGTACTAGAGCCTTCCCCGAATCACACTGAGTCACCGAGTTTTTCACATTTGGGTCAATATGAGTTATTTAAAATCTGCCAAAACATCCAGGATTCTGTTTTATTATACATATTAAGCACCTGAACAAACTCAGAAAAAAAAACTGCAGGATCTGTCTTATTTGAGAAGACAAACCAGCTCCAGCGTCGTATGCATGTCGATCGTCAGTGGATTCTCAGTTTGCTTTACTTTGACGCTTATTTACCACCATGTCCGGCCGGGAATTTGAGCAACACCATTAAAGGGAGCAAACCTTTGATTTATCGGGCTTGCTATGCTGGTGTTTGGTGTTACAGGACAGTGTCCATCAGACACATTGCTGTATATTTCCTCACGCGATAACTCTCTTCTAACCTTAGTCACGTCGGTTAAACAAGTTCGTAAGCTAAACGCTTGACTCAAGTGCGACGCGTGTAGTTGATTTTTAACCCACCCCCAGTCTGTCGTTATTTACTCACGTTATTTGCGGCAGCGATTGGTGCCAGTAGGAATTCAGTTTCTAACTGTCACGAAATCTTTGCTAGAAGTACTCCTGAAATACTGAAAAACTATCTTTCATATGATTTAATAAAACTCGGAACCTCGCTCATCATTTACCGAAAAATTTGCATGACGTCTCCTGCGCAGAAACCGTTTATTTACATCCCTGAATGCACAGGTACATGAGTGCAGGCACACAAAACTGTCAGATTAAATTTACGACCAGCTGAGCGCATTCGGTCCTCAAAACCCCGCTTCAGTTTTCGATTCTCGGCAGCTGGACGCGTTCTAAGCCCTATACGAACCCTATAGGAATTATGTTAGCTTCTAAGCAGCGAAGGTTCTTCTCCCTCAAATTCCTACGTCAGTACGGACCAGATCTCCTGCCACCTGCTCTGCGAGACTTTGTTGTTGAGGTTTTGGAAGACCGACGAATCTCAAAGGCTCACCTAGCCGGGCTTTGGCACAACGTAGTGTGAGTTAAAATAGCTTGTACTTTCCTTTAACATGTGGGGGGATTTGTTTTAAAGTAAGCGAGAAACGCTGCAGTGCAGGGAGCAATGAATGGTTTAGCAATTTTGGTCGCTAGTATCATGCGACATTACCGGCCTAGGTTTCTAACTGTAGTTCACTTCTAACTGCATAATAGACTGAGAATGATTTCTTGCTGTCTGAGTAACGAAAAGTTTCTTTTTAGTGGGGTGATTTTGAAACAAGCATAAGCATCAGGGCTTAGCAATACCGACACTTTGCGCCTGTCTATCAACTGCCTCCTTTCGCTGCATGTCATGGAAACGGAGTAATTGATGTATGGCAAGTTGATTTTTTTTTAAATAAATCACTGTTGAAAACGCGGAGGTAATTGTTCAGTACACACAGTTTAATCTAAAAGGGCCACTTCCAAACGCAGCATTAAGGGAATAGAGAGGACAGCTTGCAAACAAATATGTACAGAGGGCTTAGGAATAAATAAAGTAAGGTCGGCTTTGCTTAACGACTTGCCCGGCAAAAAACATCTTAAACTTTTTGGAAACCGATTAAATTTCTACTGTTTGTGTTGCATTTGCACTCTCTTCTGATCAGTATGGGGGATAGTTTTTTGATCGACAATGAAAACCACTGGGACTGGCAGTGGTCAGAGTCAAGTTTGCATGACCGCGATTCGGAGATGATTTTGTTCGATTATGTTTATGAAATTTAACCTCTCCTTGTAACCTGGGATAAAAAAAGCATATGGAGTCTTAGAAAACACTTCGCGGACCTATAGTTCCAAACATTAGTCACTTTTATCTATAGCACGCTTCTTCATTTTTACCTTCCCTGAATGATAGTCGCAATTCCTTTGAGAAAACAGTAAGAGAATGTGGACGAAAAACAGTACATCCATTCACCGCCTTATAAAATGTCCGCGCAGAGTCTTACTTAGCACTTCACTTAATGGCCATTGTGACGTGTACTTCAGTTGTCATGAAATTTCTCAAAGAGACTTATTGTTATTTAGCAAGGTACAAATTCAGAAACCCATCTTTTTATGTCGTTCTTGGAATGTGCGCATTTAAAAAATAGTGATTATTTTACGCACAAACTCTCACTTTAATCTAGGATGCTGCATTGACTGTCTTTCGTTGCACATTGTGTCAATCTTATGACTTTTGCCTTCTCCTTTCTGCATCTATTTGACATTAAGATGCTTAGCAAGAAATTTTGGCGTTTTTCCTCTCCGCGAGCATATCGCCAGCTAAACATCATAATTTATCTACGCGAATTTCGTTAACGGGCGACATCTGCCATAGTGTTACGCGCGCGTCTTGAGATTTCACGGAATAAAAGCATCCCAGTTCTTTCAAATTCTATGTATAGCATATTTACAAATCTGTGATTAGTCACTGTGCAACTTAAGATCTCACAGAGAAGACTCAGCTACATTCAAGGCAACATAAGCCACAAAACAGACCACCACTTCGGCAACCTTTGGCAAGGCATTTAACCAACTCGTCTGCTTCTAATGCTACTTTGAGCGATATGGTTGTTGTTGCTTTGATGGTTAAATTTTCTTCTCTGTTCGGATTTTTTAATCCACCATCGTCACAACACAATCCCCAACCACGGATAAAGCCAATTCCCATTCGGTCAAGCTTCAAGTGGAGTTTCAACGGGGTTAATTGTAATGGGACCTGAGAGCCCCTCAAAAGTTAACCGCAGGTTAATTTTATATCCGTAAACACCCTGCAGTCAATATCGTGTGGTCGATTTCACATATATTAACGTTATAGGAAAAAAACGACTTGCTAGATGAATACACCGAAAGATGTATTGCCTTATAGTATGTGATTTATGTCATGTAACGCATATAAATAACTGAAAAGTTTTTGTTCAACCGGAAGATGGCGGACGTCCAAAGACCAATTATTTCAAGTAAGGGTGACGTTTTGGGAGCAATAATACGTTGTTTAGAAGTGAGTACTATTCCGGAGAAAAGAGACACAAAAAAATCTGATATTCTCATGACATGAACAAAAATGGGCTGTAGATGAACGCAGCTTATTTATGCAAACAAACGATAAAAAATTGCAGGGACAGAATAACGTTTAAAGATGTCTTCAGTATAAAAACCTACTAATAATTAACGGGATTTGAAGTGAAGCAGCTACACAACTACCTGATATTGCATTACTTATGCAAAATAACCTTTGGATAATAGAAATAAGAAAAAACTTTACATTGTGTCGCAGGTTAAGAGGCCAATCGGTAGCTGAGAAAGAATACTAGGATTGGAAGACAAAGTCAAAACATAATATTTTCCGTGCATCAAAACAAATTTTTTATCGTAAAATAATTGTACGCTTTTATGGTATGTCAGGTTTCCGAGTGGCCTTTGAATATCACTTTGTTTGCGGTTACAAGCGTTCTCAACCGGCTGCTAAACAGGATGGGTTCCATAAATTGTGTCTCTATAGACCCCCATTTTTGAGTTGTTTTAAATGAAAACACCCCAATCGCGAGTTCACGGGCGCTTAATCTATGCAGATGATCGTTCGGGTCACACTTGTGGACCTATTCAAGCAAGCAAACTGTTCGTGGGCGGTTATTTTGGCAAATGCTCCATGATTATAGTACTACCGTTGCGAAGAAAAGTGCATCCATTTAGATGCGATTTTAGACATTTACTATGGGAAGAAAATTGCAGGACTACAAAGTGCCATCCATTTCTGCCCCAATCTGAAAACTCTCTCCATCAAAAATGACTCAGGAAGGCGTTTCCGCAGCGAGTGAAGCTGCTAAGTGCTCATCGCTTAGACGCCGGGAAATTATTTCCTATATTTCGGTCGCTGCGTTCAATGTGTTACGCCACTTTCAGTAAGTATCTATTGCAGTTGAGTTCACATTCTTCGGAAGTAAACATAAAAACGCTTATGATACCATTAAGTAAATAGTTCTCAGTTAAAGTTTACCGCATTCAGAGGCAAAACGTGGTTCGGATGGAGTAAAATTCCTAATTATTGGTCGTTCCTACGCAGTCCCACAAGCATTTGTTTTTTTTGATTTCATGGTTCATATCGTAAAGAACTAAAGTAAATTAACAGAGAGAATTTCGCGGTGCATCTAGCCATTTTTTCACGTAAGAGTTATCAGAACCTCGTTTGTGGGTTTGTGGGACTCAAACCCACAAGAGCAAGGACAAGGCTTGAGTACGACCAACGCTATAGCCACCTGAGCCACTGGGTGGTCAAAACGTTTTCTGTACTCTGGCCTTGCCTTTGCCGTTTTGGGTTTGCGTTCGACCAAGACCACCGAGTTTTTCATAGCTGGATTAAGTGATTTATTAAAATCTGCCAAACGCACCAGTTAAAAATACACTGTTCAGCGCTGAATACGGATTGACTGGGATAAAACGTGATGTCAGCTGCCCTCATGGGCTCATCAAAGCAAATACAAATGCTCGCTGCCCAAGTTGAGCGTCATATTACAGTAGATGTGCTATCTCACGAAATATTGACCGAAATTCTCAGGTGTGCTTTGGTTCCACAAGATCATTTAAGTAGGGTTGTGGTAATAATTAATCTGCAACGTATTCCTAAGGTAGTTGAGTCATCGCAGGATGCCCTCATTTGAGTGAGATGCTCTTCGATGGTTTGCGGGAACCATAATCTGCAAAAATTACTACTTAACTAGTATGAACTTTTCCCATGGATTTTCGATGTCCATATAAGTACTATATATTGCATTATGTGTTATATATTACATATCGAATAGCGAACTTGCGCAAGATATTTTGTGTACACCATTCGTAGAAAAGTACGTGCTCTCCAAAATTTTTGCTCGAAGAGAAAGTAATTTCCGGTTTTCAAGAGATTTTTCTGACAACGGTATAGAGAGGGACCCCACTAAACTCTCAACAGACTGTGGATCGTGTCACATTGGGTTTTATAATGGCATACATTTGCAGGCACTGCTAACGACTATTGCTTCCCAAGACCTCACACTTCAACAGAAAATCCGTTATTTTGTGAAATTTACTTCCTGTTTATTGCTTTTTGCTACTCTAACTTCGTTGTCGTACAATATCGTAAGATAAGACCCGCGGCATAAATTCACGCAATGTTTGTGTTTTCTTTCATTTTTTCGGCTTACTGCCTAGCGTGCTGTCTCACCTATAAAACTCCCTTTACCATAAATCGCGTATGGCACGATCAACATTCTACTGACAGTTAACTGGAGTCCTTCTTTATATCGTTGCCCTTTTGCCTTCTCGGATAATTTTCGTCCCATCTGACGCTGCGTCTACATTCAGGGTTTCTAAAATACATGCTGAAATTTCGATTCTGACCCTAAAAAGTCAGCTCCCGGTTATTTAACTCCAAAACCTGCATTGAGTAATTACCGAAATTATTCTTGCTGAGTTGCCATTCTTAAGCAACCGTACCTCAACAACAAAGGCAAGGAGCCCGAATTCGTCGTGTAACTAAAAAAAACTCCTCCTTCATGCGATTAGTCAGTCTATTTCTTTTGTGTTTGAACCTTTTTGAGTAAAGCATACATCGGAAGTCTGATTACACCTGTTTTTGTCCATTTACACAGGCGTCCGAGTGTGGCCTTCGCGGATTATGACATTGCAGACAGTCGGTGAGTGATACGAACAAACTATGACATAACTATGAGATTTGTTCGTTTTTGAGACACGGATGCGTGTTACTGTAGAAAAACATAGGCACCAGAGCGTGAAGTCTCCTGAGATTATGAAAACAATGGGGTAAGTGGAGACATCCGCCAGGGTTTCTGTTGTAATTTTGATGATTTGAACAGGAGAACTGGTCAATTACCTACACCATTAGCTTGCGATAGGAATACCTCCCTAGAGCGGGGTATACCCGACATAAGCGTGGCTGCATTGTCGCAAGTCTCATAGTCCGATTGGTTGGGCTAAAGACCGCCTAAAACGGAAGGCTAAAAATCACAAAAATGCAGAGATGTGGCTTCGAAGAACTGCGTTCATCTGGGTTAACTGTGATTATTAAAGTAACGCACGAAACATGTGCGACAATCAGAAACCAATTCACGCATTGTCACGTAGTAAAAAGCCACACATCTAGCTAACTGTAGCAGAGGTGGCAGCATCTGAGTTCGCAAGACCAGATCCCAGATAGGGACATACTGGAGTGGACGGGGATCCTCAGCATTCACGCTATGCTGAGACAACTACAGTTATGCTGGAGTGGCCACCTTGTACGGATAGGTCACGAGAAGCTACCCAAACGACCCTTCTATGGAGATGTCGTGACGGGTTCACAACGACAAGGAGATGAAGTCCGGCGCTACAAGGATACTCTGAAAACCTTCCTGAAGTGACTGCAAATCAACTCGGCAAACTGGGCAGACCTCGCCTGGAACCGACCTACGTGGAGGAGAACTAAGAATACAGACGCAGCAGTCTTCGAGACCAACCGCATCACGGCCACAAAGCCAGACGTCAGAAACGAAAAGTTCAACTGTCGCTGCCGCCTCCCAACGCTAAGACCCAACCGCCAGCAATGTGCCCCCCCTATGTCAACGGACATATCGGGCGCCAATTAAACTTGTTGGACACTTCCGGACCAACTGCAGCACCCGAAATGCACCAACCGTCGTCTCTCCGTTCATCTCTCGCGCGCCTCTCAGACCGTCAAATATTGTTGATCACCTTCCCCAACCACCACTACCATCCTCCTCCTCCTGCTCCTCCTCTTCCTCATTTACTGCCTCAAGGTCTGCCGACTGGGCACCCGCTATGCACATCGACACTACACCAACAATCACCAATACCACCACCGTCAGCACCAGCGATAAGGACCCGGTCTATACCTGTCCTCAATGCGATCGGACCTTCAACTCACACATCGGCCTGGTCGGTCACATGAAAATCCATCGTCCAGAGCCTAACAAACCAGTGCCTGGAGCATAAACCTACAATCATCTCATCCGCCTCCACTGCCCACATTGCACTCGCACATCCATTCACGGCATGGGTCAATTAGGCCACATGCGCGTCCATGAAAACCTGAGGTAGACAACCGTCGGCTCCTCTACACCACCACATCCACCCTCAACAGCAACTCACCGCTCATCAAAATCATCCACCGCAGGCACCCAAC